AAGGTAGGAATGATGTGAAAGAGGCAATGAAGAACAAAGAAAACATGTACCCTAACATCAGGCCCATTGGAATGGGGCATGATCAGGAGGAAAGAAAAATAATCACATGAAAGAGCAGAATGCAAAGTGGTGTTGAAAAGCCTGGTTCCCATCACATAGAAGGTAGAATTGACAATCCAGGAGCTAATGCTAGTACTGGACCTCACATCTCAGAAGACACAGTGACCAGCTTCTGGAGCTTAGATGGGATAGGAGGAAGACAGAAAAGGAAATACACAGAACCTTCTGATGATCAAGGAATGCAACACAAAGCACTGAGAGTTCAGGCCTTCTTACAGTGTATGATATAAATCAAGATGAATGCCATGACATTAAATCCAATACTATTCAATCCTGCAGTGTGTGACAAATTGAGATATTAAATTTAGTGGAATGATGCAAGAGAGCAATGGCAGGGCTAGGGTGCAGAAGATTATGTGAAGGGTAGTTTAGTTCCTCTTTTACACCATTGGTGATAAAGAGACAACCTGGAGGAGGTTATCTTACCTATTCCATGTTTAAGACACCTTATAAACCTTGGTGAGGTGGTCTTTATGCCTTTTAATACAAGAACTTATGATATACAGGAATTACTAACTGCTTCATGCTAACAATCTGACCTTATTCTAAACCTAACATCAGCTAGCAGCTGAAAGACAATGCTTGGGACCAGGGCTATGCTGCTGCTAGGCTGCTGCTTGCAACGCCAGCGACACTGCATCAGAGCACCCGTTCCAGTCCTGGATGTTCTGCTACTGAGCCAGTGCTCTGCCAATTTACCTGGGAAGGCAGAAGATGGTCCAAGTACTTGGGTCCCTGCTATGCATGTAGGAGACCCACGTGGAATTTCTGGCCTCTGGTTTAAGCCTGGTCCTACCCTAGCTGCTGTAGGCATTTAGGGAGTAAACCAGCAGATGTCAGATCTCTGTTTCTGCTTGCCTCTGACTCTTGTGTCCTGCCTCTCTCTGGCATTCTACCTTTCAAGTAAATAAAAATGTTTAAAAATATTTATTTTTATTGGAAAAGCAAATCAGATTTACAGAGAGGAGAGAAAGATCTTCCATCCACTGGTTCACACCCTAGGTGGCCACAATGGCTGGAGCTGAGCTGACTGGCAGCCAGGAACTTCCTCTGGGTTTTCCACACATGTGCAGAATTCCAAGGCTTTGGGCCTCCACTGCTTTCCCAGGCCATAAGCTGGGAGCTAGATGGGAAGTGGAGCAGCTGGAATACGAACTGGCACCCGCATGGGATCCTGCAGCTTGCAAGGCAAGGATTCATAGCCACTGAGCCATCGTGTCACCCCAATAAATAAATATCTTAAATAAATTAAAAAGATAACAAACTCCACAAGTCCTCACTTAAATAGCACTTCTGGTCCCAATCTCATAAGCCTGAAAGAAGTAAGAAACTAATGGAACAGATACTTTTCTGCTAAGAGACTCAATTTTGATGTTAAAGGTTAAAACTGCAAAAGTTATAAAATCACTGAACTAATGTAAAGTTTTAACTGGGTGAGCTCCCCCTAGTGGACAGAAAGGAATCACAGGCAAAATTAAAAAGACCTGTAGACACTTACTGTGGGGTGGAGGGGGAAGACCCACTGTGGGCTCCTGTTGAAGTCTGAAGTAAGAAAGTGATATAAAAGGCAGCATTATAAGCCTTTGGATCTAAACTCACACAAATAAATCCTAAATAGAACTGTTACTTTGTAAACTGCAGTTCTCACTTTTGGGTAAGATTTTATTTTAGTCAGAGTACTTTCTAAATTGCTGCCATTCAGTAGCTGGAAAACTGAGGTTATGAGGTTCAGTTTCTACGATCTACTTCATACTTTAGCAGATCTAATTCTCCACAATGTACACTGCACACCACACTAGGGGTGAGTGATTTGCTTTTAAATGAAAGGAATAAAGTTGAGAAGAAGAGTCGTTGTGCTAAGGACAATTATCTGATGTAGAGGTGATGTCTAAAATATGTCACTAATAAATTAATTAGAAGAAAAGCAGAATAAAAGTTATCTTGCAATAAATACATTTAATAAATATAATAATTTGCTTCAGGCTACTACAGTGATGAAAACGCTACCTTAGAAAAGATGAAACTACTGGACATGTTTAAAGCAGAGCCCGTGATAAGACACTCCCAGATGATCACTTGCTGCAAGGAAAAGAAAGACAATGAAAAAGGTAAAGAAAATGAAAAAGATCTAGAAGTTCGATGGTGCTACCTACCAAATCTGAATTCAATACATTTCCTGGCAGACAATAAACCAACCAAGTAAGCAAACAGAAATTTACAGAAAGTGAAGAGTTTGGAAACAAGAGACTCATTCTTAAGAGGTAAATAACATGTAGGGGACGCTGAAATATAGTTTAGGACCAACTCCTCTGTCTTAGGTTTTAGTGGAAAAAAAAAAAAGCAATTTTGAATGTCAGTGATGCTGTGGCTACAGGTCTGGGACTACAGCAGGCAGATGCACAGACTGAGGCGACTGTTTTCTCAACACCTGTCCTTACAGGAGTCGGTAGATGCACAGGAGATGTTATCAATCAAATACATTGGGGATACAGCCATGTCTAACAAATAGAGAATTATGTTTAGCAAGGAAATGAGGAAACAATGCAATACGATGACAACCAAGTGTCCAATTAACTTCCTCATCAACAGTGACAACTGCTGAGCTGAAATCACCGAAGTAGGGCTTCCATGGCACTAGATAAGCAAGCCTTACAGCTCCAACGGTACTCGGTTCTCTACGTGAAAACACACCTCCTCTTCTCTAACCCTTAGATGCCCAGTGTACCACTTTCTTTTAAGCTTATGTTCCCCCTTTAAAAACTGTTTATCTTCTATTTGAAGGGTAGAGTAACAGACGGAGAGGGGGGAAATGGGAGAGCTTGCCCACCTACTGGTTCACTCCCCAAATGCCAGCAACAGCCAAAGCTGGCCCAGGATAAAGCCAGGAGCCCAGACTCCATGGCAGTCTCCCACAGGAGTAACTTGGGCACAAGCTATCGGGTTATCTGCTATCTCCCAGGATGCAGCAGCACAAAAGCGAGACTGAAAGGAAAGTGGTCAGGACTCAAAGTAGGCACTTGGATATGGGACAAATGCGTCCTACGCAGCAATTTAACAGAGGTGCTACACTTGTCCCAGGTTATTGTCCTGTAAAAATCAACACAGTCACTAAAACAAATTGATGAATGATATTAAATCTGTCCAGATTAAAATACAGGGATTTCTAAGAATTAAAAAAAAAAGTCCCAGCATGTTAACCTAGTGGCTGAAGTCTCGCCTTGCATGCACCAGGATGCCACATGGATGCCAGTTTGTGTCCTGGCTGCTCTGCTTCCCATCCAGCTCCCTGCCTGTGGCCTGGGAAAGCACAAGAGGATGGTCCAAAGGCTTGGGACTCTGCACCTGCATGGGAGACCTGGAAGAAGCTCTTGGCTCCTAGCTTTGGATCGGCTCAGTCCCAGCAGCTGCAGCTACCTGGAAAGTGAACCAGTGGACAGAGATCTTTATGTCTCTCCTTCTCTCTCTATAACTGACTTTCCAATAAAAACAATAAATCAATTTCAAAAAAAAAAAAAAAAGTAAATCAAAGTATCATCAAGAACTAGAAAGCAGGTTCCTAGGAAGGAAAGCTGAGAGAGCATTAAGAAGTTTGGTTATGTTGTTGAAAGTAACAAAAGATGGCTGAAGCTCTTGATTTGGTATTTTTAAAAAACTGTATACCAATTTAATGATGGGAATACTATGCCAAGAAACACCATTAATACATGAAAAAGAAGAAACACAGAAACAGAGCCCAGTCGGTGTACATCTGCAGTGGTACACAGAATGTAGAACCTGGGCACACACAAAAACCTTAGGCCAGAAACCAGCACAAGGAGAGTTCCTGTCAACCTACAAATTAGGAAATCAACTGGCTGGGACTTTCACTACTGATTAGCTATTGCTGATAATCTATCATAGTTAAAAAAGATAATCTAGAGTAGTATAAATGGTCACCATCACAGTATTTTAAGAGAGCAGAAGCAATCTCGTGGGCTGGGCGTTAGCAGGGAAGGTAAAGTGGGAAATAGCATAAGCCCAATCATTGTTATCTTAAATTCTGAGATGAACCCCCACATCAAACTAGGGGTCACCAAAGGTGCCTAGCAATCTGCTAGACTCCTTATCAGGATAAGGTGCCGGCTGCTTCCACCAGAACACTTAAGGACAAACTAGCTTCAAAATTGCTAACTTGCTGAGGAAGCTTGAGGGGAGGAAACACTGAAGTTGCACTATATTTTTATCACTAGGGCAACAACAAGCCTTCCGAGTAAACAGAAATGCTGGGGGACCTTGTATTAGGCTGCAACTGTCCTACATGACAAGATCTTTACAATACTTTATCTCTCAGGAGAAACAACTACAAGTGCTTTATGGTGAAGCAGCACAAAACCACAAGAATTTGGAAATGAACAAAGAAAGCAAAGCAGATTAGTTCTTGTCAAACAAGTAGAACATTTGAAAGTAAAAAAGAATTCATACCAGACTTGGCTCTGATCAATACCCTCGGGATATTTACCTAACCATTCCAAGTCCACAGATCCTGCAGAATATAGGCAATCCACTTCCTGCCTGCCTCATCATAAAGGATTACACAGTAAAGCACTTTGAACCCACAAGTGCAAGGTAATGACAACATTATTACTTAACTTGTCCTTCCCTCATTTTCTGAAAAAGTTATATATCAGCTTCAACTTTCTTCCCACTCAGTTAATCTCACAGCTTCTAGTAAATTCCACAAACAAAAACAACAAAGAAAACTTTGCAAAAGAGAAATCCACACTCAATCTCTGGTCTCAGTTTTCTAAGGAGAAAATCCTTTATATCTGCTATTTAATTTTACTCTCTAATAATCTCTATGAGACCCAAGGAAAAGGCTCTTTCATCTTTTGCATTCTTACCTTTGGAAGCTGTTGCAGCAAAGGGGCCAGGAAGAGAAAAGCATCATACGTTGGAAAGGAAATGAAAGAAAAATAATCACATACATTGTCACTACAGGTAGTTGCTCAGTCACAATCTTCTAAGAACTCTATCCCACCCATATTTTAAAAGCTCACATTCAATAATGGCATGCAACAGTCCCTTTCTCCAACCCCAGTAACCCTAAATACAAACATTAAGTTATTTCTTCTGGATGGGAAAAGCCATGTCTCTTTGAGTCAGCCTTTCCTTTGCCCTCACCCTGGGAAGGCAGGGAATGGGAGACTGCCCGCAGTGTACCCTAAGCCCGGCCCCACACATCTGCACCCGAGAAGGCGGCACTCACTCTTGGTCTGGGCAGAGAAGGTGAGGGTCAGCTTGGCAAAAAGTTCACTGTTCTCAAAGCGGTCTTCCTTCACCTTGGTCCAGAAGCAGTCCTGGGAAAGGTCCTCAGCTACAAACTGTGGATGCAGGCAAAGTTAAGAGTGATCACACAGAGTTCCATGCTTTAAATCTCACAACACTGATTAGGATTCAAAAGAGGTAGCTAGCTGGCTGGGTACCAGAAATATTTTACTAAACCAAGACAAATCTAAGAAACATAACAGCGATCTTCTCATGGTGGAATCAGAAGATGACCGCTTCCAGTTTGCTTACTGAACTCTGTTAATGAACCACACTGTTGAGCTATCCATCCTCCTTTTAACCTCAATCTACCAGCTGGAAAAGCATTAGTGCTGCATTTTATCTTTCTTTGCTCCATGTAACTGATTATTTTTCAAAGTCCCTAACTCTGCCCAATTTCTTCATGAATGCTTTAGTTTCAATTGATTTCTGGAAGAGAAAAGCTGACTACTAATAAAGAATCACAGGGGTCTCAAACACATCATACCAACAATATTGTGCCAGGGAACCATGGCCTGTGTAATTCACACACTGGGAGTGGGATGGGAAGGGCTTATAAAAGAATTCATGATTTTGGAATCAATCCAATTTCAGTAGTTTGCAGATCAGGGACATGACTATTATCATCAAACTGTGCTACCATGGCACTCTACCCTCAGAAAAAGTGAAAAACCAAGAGCTTAAAGACAAGTTCAGAGTAAGGCAAGGGTAAGTTCAGAGCATGTGGCTCACAGGACTCTTCAAGTGACGCTTAATAAACAGAAGCTTGAGGGGAACCTACAAGCCACATACAGAAGCCGGAAGAAGGGAAACCTCCACATACAGTAGGCTTAAAGTCTACTGATGAACGAAGGAATAGAACCTCTCACCTTGGACCAGTTTGGCCTCCGGAGTTGTACTTCTGGCTTATAAACTTTTTTGGGAGCTAATCCAAATGGCAGAGCTGGGACTGCAGGCACACCCAACCCAAAAGGTGGAGGGGGAGGCACACCCAATCCAGGTGGAGGTGGAGGAATTCCAGGGCCTCCAGGAAATGGAGGGGGTGGAGGAATTCCAGGACCACCAGGAAGAGGGGGAGGAGGAGGGGGTATTCCAGGTCCTCCGGGTAAAGGAGGAGGAGGTGGGGGGATGGCAGCACCTCCAGGCAAAGGAGGGGGTGGGGGGATGGCAGCACCCCCAGGTAAAGGAGGAGGTGGGGGGATGGCAGCACTCCCAGGTAAAGGAGGAGGTGGGGGGATGGCAGCACCCCCAGGTAAAGGAGGGGGTGGGGGGATGGCAGCACCCCCAGGTAAAGGAGGAGGTGGGGGGATGGCAGCACCCCCAGGTAAAGGAGGAGGTGGGGGGATGGCAGCACCCCCAGGTAAAGGAGGGGGTGGGGGAACAGAAGTACTTCCAGGCAAAGGAGGGGCTGTGGGGATGGCAACACCCCCAGGTAAAGGAGGAGGTGGTGGGGGAGGAGGAATGGTACTGCTTCCGGGAAGAGGAGGTGGGGGTGGGGCAGGGGGAACAGTAGCACTAATAGGAACAGAAGCAGCTGCAGCAGAGAGGGAAGCCATTTGTTTCTTGGCATCTTCCAGTTCTTTTGTCAGCTTGGCAACCTGCACAAACAACATCAATGTAAGTACCTCTCATCCCACTTCAGGGGTTACCGGATTGGAAGGAACCTAAGCAAACACTTCACCCAAGCTTCTCACTACACATGGAGGGACTGACAGGAGTCAATGAGATCTACAAGCTCACCTGAAGTCACACTACCTAGTGGCACAGCCAAAACTGGAATTCAAGGCCTTATGTTCTCAGTTCAGTGTACACTGTGTTACAGAGACAACTTAAGTTTCTGCTTTTGATTCTAATTGAATGGCCACAAAATCAAAAGTTCTAATCATCCATTGTAGGTGCTATAATTACCAATTATATTATTAGATCTCAGAAAGGAGTACACAAAGGATTCTCTTTCCAGAGATGACTAAAATGAGGGAAATTTAGTATAAACATGCATTTTAAATTTTACTCCTAAAAGTATCAGAAAGTTATTACCTTTATTTTTAGGTTGTACTCTAACTCATTTAAAAAATTTTTTGTTCTGCATTTTCCAGAACTATCTCTCATGCATTACTTATCCCCAAATAAAAAACTAAAACATACTACATGATGTTATAAGTAAGTACCATGTAACTAGCTTACCTAACAGTAGCTCCCTGGGAGGGAGACTCCTGCCTCCTGTCCTAACATATGGGCATCCTGAGGTTCCTGCCCGCAATTACAGGCAGCTGGCCCTCCCTACCCACTCCTGGTTACCTCTCCAGTGAGCTGGGACATCTCTGCTTCCAGTTCCTGTTTCTCGGTCGCAATTTGCTGCTTTTCTGAATCCAGTGAATCCCTTTCTCCCTGAAGATCCTGAAGTTTCTGTTCAAAATCACTTTCCATCTTTTTCATTTCTACCTGCAGTTCATGTCGGGCTGTTAACTCTGAATCCAGCTGAAGAAGAAAAAAAAAAAAAATCAGGCTCCTAGTAAGCTCCCCATCTCAGCAAGAACTCCTCAGCTTACTGTCTGTGCCAATATCTGACACCCTGAGGTCCCTGACCCTTATCTTAAACAACGTCTGAAAATGAAAAATCATCTTACTTTTTTTTACTTAAAATCAAGCTAAGGAGCAGGTGGATGACCTACAGGTTAAAAATCTGCAGCTCCCATCACACTGCTTGTGTTCCATCACCAGTTCTAGCTCATGGCTCTGGCTTCTCCACTGATGCAGACTCAGCGCAGGAGATGGAAGGGCAGCAGTGATGACTACCGTAACCAGTGTCCTGCTGCCTCAGTGCAGCTCCTGCCTCCCGTCTGACCCAGCTATTAAGGTGTTTAGGAAGTGAGGCAGTGGATCACAGCCTTGTCTCTGGAAGCCAGAGATCATTTTCACAGTCTTCCAATTTTATAAACAAAATCAAAAACAAAAATAAAATCCTAAAATTTTAGGACATTTAACTAGGACACCTTCGGTGGCTCAATCCCAGTAGTCTCTAACATTGAAAACCTATCCACCATAATAGGAGTCCTAAAAAGCCAGAGAAAAAGAAAACTCAAACAATTCCAGTTATTATTATTCCTGAGATACCAGGCAAATCTGAGCATGCCACCACCATCACAGAGGAGTGTCTCTGTCTCCCTGTTCTGCCCAGTGGCCCAAGTGCTGTGCCAACCCACCATGGGCTCTTCACCGTCATACTCCGTATCACCTTCTCCAATGACTAACATATCCAGTAAAGGCTTTCTCCTAAGAATTACACACTGCGCACTGAGTATCTCCCAAATACATACCACGGAGAAAATTCTCTGACTTATCAGAAAAGTAATAATTCTCAACAACACAAAACTAAACAAATTTTCATACATACTTTTTTTTCCAGCTCTGTAGCTTTGGCTTCAGATTTCTCCACTTTTGTTTTATCAATCATTTGATCTGAAAAGAAGAAGAGCCAGTAAGTAAAACTGTTGCTTCTCCTGTTTTCTTCTGTCATACCCAAATCTTAGAGATCACCAAAGAGCAGCCGTTTGTCCTTCGATTATTTTATTACCCTTCTTAATGTCCTGCATTAGACAAAGGAAGGGAAGTTTCAGTTAAATTTAACATGTAATTTCTGAGTGCACAGTAAGGCTACCAGGCTGAGAACTGTCTGTGAGTGACACAACTATCTGAGATTAGCAGGAGTCACAGGGAGCAGCCCAGGTCTTCAGAAAATGAGCAAGCTTTCAGAATTCTGCAGAAATAAATTCACAGCCTGTTTCTTCCTAGCAAAGATGTTGGTTATATCATAAAGCAGGACAAAATGAAAATATCTGGAGATTAGAAAGACACTGGGTGACTTCAAAAACTTGTGACAACATTAAGAATTAAAAGACAGTGTGACAGGAGCCAGCACAGTGGTTTGCAATAAGGTAAGCCAAATAAAAAATCATCCCATATGGGCACTGGTTCATGTCCCAGGTACTCCACTTCTAATCCAGTTCCGTATTTATGGCCTGGGAGGGCAGCGGAGGCCTAAGCCCTTAGGTTCCCGTACCCATACAGGAAGGAGCTCCTAACTTCCTAATGGCTCAGCTTTAGAAACCAGGCCATTTGGGGAGTGAACCAGTGGATGGAAGATCTCTCACTGCCTTTTGTCTCTTTAACTCTGCCTTTCACATAAAATGAATTGTTTTAAACAAACAAACATGAGCATGGACTATTTTTGACCTAATATGTGAAAGCAAATGAAAAACACCTGTTCACTAAAGTGTCAATCATTTAAAAAAAAAAAAAAGATATCAGTTATATCAACAACATCCCGTTTCAGGACGCTTAAAGATTTTTAAATTTTTATTTGAAAGGCAGAGTTGCAGAGAAGGAATGAAGGAGAAACAGAGAAATCTTCCATATGCTGAAACTCAAAGCCAGAAGTCAGACATTTTTCCGGGCTTCCCAAATAGGCCCAGGGGCCCAGGGATTTGGACCATCCTTTATTGCTTTCCCAGGCCATTAGCAGGGAGCTGAATTGAAGAGGAGCAGCCAGAACTCAAACTGATACCCATATGGAATGGCTTTGCCACAGAGGCTTAACCTACTAAGCCATGGTATCAGCCCGAAAATAAATCCTCTAAAAACAAAAATTAAAGTTTGCATTGTGGCACAGTGGATTAAGTCACCATCTGCAATGCCAGCATCCTATTTGGGTGCAACTTCAAGTCCTAGCTGCTCCACTTCCAATCCACTCCATACTAACGTGCCTAGGAAAACAGCGGAAGACAGCCCAAATCTGTGGGCCCTGTGCCCATGTGAGACATGGAGAAACCCAGAGGAAGTGCCAGGCTCCAGGCTCTGGCCAGGACCAGATCAATTCCTAGCTGCTTCAGTCATTTAGGGAGTGAACCAGCAGATAGAAGATCTCTTCTGGCTTTTTTTTTTCCCTCTTCTGTAACTTTGCTTTTCAATTAAATACAATTTTTAAGAGTGTAAATTTTCCACCAATTTATTCAAGACCTCTTGACTCTTCTCTGCAGTTCTCACTAAAACAATGATGCAAAACAAGGCAATGTTCTGAGGAACCAGGTAAAAGAGCACGCTTACCAATCAATCCCTCAATATCAATCTGGAGATGTCGGCACTTGAAGTCCGGATCAGCTCCATTCTTGTGTAGGACTATCTGGGAAATACATTCTTCAATCAACCTATAGTACTGGGGTCTAAAGAAGAAGGAAAGCAAAATTATCAAAGGAAAATAAAACACATGGTTTTCAGCAGTATCCAAGATTAAAAAAAGTCAACTGTGTTGACATTAAGGACATCTGAGGATAAGCATTCTATTTCTCTGGGAAGGCAACAGAAATAGCATTGCCACCGCCACTTACCCATCAGCTACCCTGTCTACTTCACACAATCAAAGGTTCTTACCATTCTGCCTTCCAGTACCAACACTGTCCCACCTCACATCCCACATGGGTGAGGGTCGTGTCCCGGCTGCTCCACTTCCCATCCAGATCCTTGCTTATAGCAGGGCAAAGCAGTGGGTGGGGGGATGGCCCAAAGCCTTGGGACCCTGCACCTGTGTGGGAGACCCAGAAGCTCCCAGCTCCTGGCTTCAGATCAGCTCAGCTATGGCTGTTGCAGCCATTTACGGAGTCAACAAGCAGATGGAAAATCTTTCTGTTTCTTCTTAAATCTGCTTTCCCAATAAAAACAAATAAATCATTTTTTAAAATGGTGTTTGACCCTTCCTGGAAAGGCCGGTGCTACTGCAGTATCTCTACTTCCAGGACACCAGAAAGAATTTTAAACTGTCATCTGCTTTTGATGTATCTTTACCCCATCAAGACGGGCAGGGCCCTGCTCCTTACACACTTTGATCTCTTCCACAGGCTCTCCTTTCAGTAGGATTAAGGACACAACTGACCTCTTCCTTCACATTTGTGACTAACACACCAAAAAAAAAAAAAAAAAAAACTATGGTGTTTGTCCCCCCAGCCCCAATACAGAACAATCTTTGAATTTAAGGATTTTGTTCATTTATGTTCAAATTCAAAACTCCCAAGGCACACCATCTTACCTGGCCTCATAATCATTTCGGACCAAAAGCAGGTGTTGCAAGATCGACAGGAAGTGTGATTCTGCCTTTGAATCCTTCACTGTATTTAAGAGAATCTGGAAGACTTCATTAGAGTCAGTGGAAAGGGAGAACAGGCTAAGGAAAAGTATTTGGTGGGTGGTTGATTCAATTCCTGGAAAACTAGGGCAAAGTGGGAAGATATAACTTCTGGGGCCCAGTGCATTAGCCTAATGGCTAAAGTCCTCACCTTGAACATGCTGGGATTCCATACGGGTGCCAGTTCTAATGCCAGCAGCCCCACTTCCCATACAGCTCCCCGCTTGTGGCCTGGGAAAGCAGTCGAGGACAGTCCAAGGCCTTGGGACCCTACACCTGTGTGGGAGACCCAGATGAAGCTCTAGGCTCCTGACTGGATCTGCTAAGCACCAGCTGTTGCAGTCACTTGGGGAGTGAATCAGCAGATGGAAGATCTTCCTCTCTGTCTCTCCTCCTCTCTGCATATCTGACTTTGCAATAAAAAATGAAATAAATCTTGGTGGTGTGAGTAAACAGAAAAGATCCCTAGTATCCAGCCATATGATCAAGCAGTAGACAGGGGAAACCAAAAGATAACTGCCTCAGCGGCACATGTGGCAAATATTAACAGGTAAACAGAGAACTTTCTCAATGAGTCCAAACACTTCTAAAGGCCAGTTCCACACCTTAGTAAGCTAGCATAGTGTAGGAAGCTTCCTGTGACTGTGATGGCTGAGCATCCTAGGAATGTGCTCAGGTAACTGGCACCAACAGTAACAGACAGACACTTAGCCTACTTACTTACGAGAGCCCAAGCCTAATGTCCTGTTGTGGGTCATCACCCTTCCCATCAATCCTTACAGGCAGGGGTCTGCAAATAAACCTACTGAAGGTGTCAGCTGTCTCAGACCCGGTCAGTAAAAGGATATTCCATTTCCATGCGAATGTCATCCAGCCGTCCCTTTAGGTCCTCAGAATCTTCGTCTGCGTGCTCATCAAACACAACTAACTGCACTCGCATATCATCATTTTCAATCTCTCGAAGGTCCTGCCAATGACAAAGTAAAAGTCAAGGAATCTCAAAGTGTCTTCTATGCTAGAAACCCAAATCATTTTGCCTAGTTTTCAAGCTGAAAACAGCCAGATGGTTGTGGCTACCAACCCATCCATGACCACTGTTATATACCTGTAAAACCTGATGCAGCCCCAAACGCATCAGCTCACTTCGGATGTGAACTCGGAAGTCAAGTTCTTCTGCTGGCGTGATGAGAGCATTGATCAGCTGGAGGCATCCCACCTAAGAGTAAGAAAATACAGTTAGTGTGACAAAGCTAACTCGTACAAATCCAGGTACTCTCTTCTTATATGTATTCCATGAGGTTCCCAAATACAACCTACAGGTGCAGTAAAAAGCAAAACAAAAACTATATGAAGGCATTTTCTGTTATAGTGTAACACCTGTTCTGAGCGCAGGTCTAGAGAACTCAGAAACCTAACGGATTTGATGGTACATGTTATTGCAGGCTGTGGTTTTTCTCATATTTATAGACACAGTGCCTTTTTTCCCCCATTTCATCAGGAAAACAGTTCTTTCTTTGCCATTTCGGAAAGAAGATAAAGCATTTTCCCTTCAGAGTAAATTCTCAAATGTAAAATATAGTTTGGAGTCACTCAATGGTTCTCACGAAAGGTCAAATGAGCAGCAGTCTCCATCCTGAATTTTGTCCTTGGGGCCAGCTTTCAGGTATACGCACCTTGAGTGCAATGGAGGTCCCGCTTTTCAACCCATCCAGCAGTGGCTGGAAACGTTCCACCTCATCCAGCTCAGCTCTCTCTGTCATGGCCTCCAAAACCCTTTCATTCCTGCCCAAGGAAAAGAAACGGAGGGAATTGCTCAGATGTTCTGACACAGACATGTGTGATGGGCAGAAACCTAGGCCACAGGCCACTTGGAAAAGGAAGACTGTTAATGCAAACAGGACATTGTTGATGTTCCAGATTTCTTGCATTCTTCTTACCACCCCCAGAGAAGATGTCAGAATTTGCTGAAAGCTACGTAAAATCCACTCCTTGAAATCCATCTCCAGACTCTTACTCATAGATACCATATTACGACCCTTAGACCAAAAAGTATATGAACTGGTGTAATTTTAGAAGGGCAAATCACAGTATTACTCCATTTCAAGTTCATATAACTTCAGCTTACTTCTAGAAACCTATCCAACATAAATGTAATATAAACAAAATATGAACAAGAATGCTCACTGTAGTATCTTTATAATAAAAATTCTGGGGCCGGCACAGTAGCCCAACAGACTAATCTTCTGTTTGCATGCACCAGTATCTTATATGGGTGCCAGATCAAGTCTCGGCTGCTCCACTTCCCATCCAGCTGCCGGCCAGTGGCCTGGGAAAGCATCTGAGGATGGCCCAAAGCCATAGAACCTTGCACCTGCATGGGAGATCCAAAAGAAGCTCCTGGTTCCTGACTTAGGATTGGCTCAACTCTGGCCATTATATCCACTATTTCACTTCCCAAGTGGCTGCAAAATCTTTCTCTCTTATTTCCTTCACTCCATAAACCTGCTTTTCCAATAAAAATAAATAAATATTTAAAAAATAATTTAATAGGGCCAGCACTGTGGCATAGGTGAAGCCTCTCAGTCTGCCATGCCAACATCTCATATGGGAGCCAGTTTAAGTCCCAGCTGCTCTGCTTCTGATCCAGCTCCCTGCCAGTGTGCCTGGGAATACAGCAAAACATGGCCCAAGTACTTAAGACCCTGTAACCCCATGGGAAACCCAAAAGAAGCCCCCAGCTCCTGACTTTGGTTTGGCTTGGTCTAGCCCTAGCTTATGCAACCACTTAGGGCACAAAGAAGCAGATGGAATATATCTGTCTCTCCTCTCTGTAAATCTGCCTTTCAGATAAAAATAAATCTTTTAAAATATCAGACCAAGACAACATCCAACCAACTCAACTTTCTTCTAGCCTAAGAGAAGATGATGAAAATGTAATTGGAGGGTCCTAGCACTGTGGTCTAGTGGCTAAAGTCCTCGCCTTGCATGCATCAGAATCCTATATGGGTGCCAGTTCGTATCCTGGCAGCCCCACGTCCCACACAGGTCCTTGCTTGTGGCCTGGGAAAGCAGAAGGATGGCCCAAAGCCTTGGGTCCCTGTACCCACATGGGAGACCCAGAGGAGGCTTCTGGCTTTGGATCAGATCAGCTCAGCTCCAGCCATTGTGGCCACTTGAGGAGTGAATCACAGATGGTGGATCTTCCTCTCTGTATATCTGACTTTCCAATAAAAATAAATAAATCTTTAAAAAAATGTAATTGGAGGAGAGCAATAATTCCATTCAACATACATGTCTTCTGGCTGTGGCAGAATACAAAGAGCAGAAAGCAGCTTAGCTGCATCAATCATCATGTTAGGAACAGCAGGGTCCATGGCTCTGACCAGCAGCAGGATTCCTTCTTCCGTATCCAACATAGTTTTGATTCCAAACTGTTAAGATAAGAACAGAGATGAGATACTGAAAGATGACAGCATCTAACAACCATGAACGAGTTTAGAGGTTATTGTGGCCTGAATGGTATCCTCCCCAAAGCATGTTGAAGTCCTAATCAACAGTACCTCAGAATATGAACTTATTTTAAAACATGAATATACACAGATAAACAGATTTAGTTAGATTACAATGACATTACACTGAAGCACCATGAGCCCCTAATCCAGTATGACTGGTATGCTTAAAGAATATAGGGACACACAACACAGGGACAACATTATATGAACTTGAAGGCAGAGATTGGAACAATATATCAACAAATCAAGAAATCTAAGCTCAAGATTGGCACTATGGTATAGTAAGTAAAGTTGCCACCTCCAGCACCCACATTGCATATAAAGGTGCCAGTTTATGTTCTGGCTGCTCTACTTCCAATTCCAACTCCCTGCTAATGTCTTGGGAAAAGCAGTGTAAGATGGCCCAAGTGCTTGTATCCAGATACCCACGTGGGACAATCAGAAAAGTTTCTAGCTCCTAGCTTTGGCCTGGCCCTAGCCATCGTGGCAACAGACACAGATCTCTTTCTGTAACTCTGACTTTCATAAAACAAATCTTAAAAAAAAAAAAGTCAAAGATTGCCAATAGCTACCAGAATCTAGGAGAGAGCCATGGAATTTCTATACGGGATAAATAATATGGACTCCTTGTGTTTGAACACTAAGCAGACATAAAACCTTAATGCAAAGATCTAAAGCAAAAACATTCTGAAAGGAAAAAACAAGCAAGATATAAAGCAAATCTTCTAAAACCAAAATATGAATGTCAGGAAACGCAAGAATTATCAGGGGCTGGCAAGATGGCTCAATTGCTGATCTTCTGCCTATGGATGCCAGTTCGTGTCCCATCTGCTCCACTTCCCTTCTAGCTCTCTGCCTATGGCCTAGAAAAGCAATGGAGTATGGCCCAAAGCCCTAAGACTCTGTAACCACATGGGACACCCAGAAGAGGCACATGGCTTTGGACTGGCTCCGTTCCAGCCATTGTGACCACTTAGGGTGTGAACCAGCAGATGGGAAGATCTTTCTGTAAATCTACCTAATAAAAATAAATCTTAAAAGCTGAACTGAACTTATAAAATACAATCCATAATGAGGGAAAAAAAAGCTTTTGGAACCATGTACAACAGGGTGCTTCAAAAAGGCTATGAAGGGGCCAGTGTTGTGGTACCACAACAGGTAATGCCACGGCCTATGATGTCAGCATCCCATATGGGTGCCGGTTTGAGAACCAGCTGCTCCACTTCCAATCCAGCTCCCTGCTTTTGTGCCTGGGAAAGCAGCAGAGGATAGTCTAGTGCTTGGGCCACCCATACGGGAGACCAGAATGAAACTCCCAGCTTCAGCCTGGCTAGGCTCTGGCCCTTGTGTCTATCTGAAGAGTGAATCAGCAGATGCAAGCATACTTTCTCTCCCTCACTGCCTCGGGTCTCTCTTCCTTCTTCTGACTTTCAAATAAACAATTTTTACAATTTATTGTTTGAAAGGTAGAGTTACTCAGAGAAGGAGAGCTAAATCTTCCATCCACAGATTCACGCCCCAAATTCCTAAACGGCTAGGGCTGGGCCAGGCTGAAACCAAGAGCCTGGAATTTTTTCCAAGTCTCCCACACAGATGAAGGGGCCTAAGCACTTGAGCCGACTCCTCTGCTCTGAGAAGCTGGTTTAGAGGTGAAGCAGCCAGGACCAAAACTGCCACCCATAAGGGATGCCAATGTTGCAGGCAAATGCTTGGCCTGCTATACCATGGCACTGTCATAAATAAATGCTAAAATAGTTAAGATTCTGAAATAGAAAGCTAGAAGTCTTCAACCTCATACATCTTTTTCATTCTCTTTTTGGGTCTTCTTAAGAGGAAAGAATGGGGTTTAAAACCAGAAATGGAATGTGAATGAGGGGGGAAAATCTCACCTTATTGTTCATGAAAGCTTTCAAGCAGCGAATGATCTCATGCTTGTTCCGGCTGTGGCAGAGAGAAGACACAGTTAGTGAAGTTCCTTTATGCATTTCCCCTTTGACTTTTCAATCTTCAAAACAGTATCTCAGGAATACCCGCAACTAAGAGTTGAATAAATGTTAGCATTGAAACATCAGCAAAAGAAGAAGGACTCCTACCATTGAAGGCCTTTGGCTAATTTTTCTATAATCCAAGAATTTAGTACTGCATTAAAACCTTCCCTTTAAGGAGCTGGTGTTATGCTGCAGCAGGTAAAGCCACCACAACACCGGAAACCCATATGAGCACTAATTTGAGTCCTGGCTGCTGCTTCCAACCCAGCACCCCCGATAATGGCCTAGGGTGCCTGGGTCTCTGTCACCCACATGTGAGACAAGAAAGAAACTCCTAATTCCTGGCTTCAGCCTGGCCTAGAGAACCAAGGATGGCCGGTCTCTTTGTCTCTCCCACCCTCTCTGTAATTCTGACTTTCAAATAAGTAAATCTTTAATAAAACACAAACAAATAAACAAACAAACAAAAAAAAAACCCTGCCCTTTAGTCCTTGCAGGTTCCTTAAGTGTTAAATTCTATTAGGATAACATGCCACCTACAAGAGGACTTGAAAAAGTTCATGGAAAATGGAATTCCAAGATAGATTTAAAATTTTTTTTCACAGCAAAATAAACCTATCTTGATTTTTCCTGTCCTGAATTTTCCACAAAATTTATTTTAAAACTCTATGGGCCCACCATGGTGACTTCATTGGTTAATCCTCTCCTTGCAAGAACTAGGATCTGGGCACTGTTTCGTGTTCCAGCTGCACCACTTCCCATCCAGCAGCTCCCTGCTTATGTCCTGGGAAAGCAGTGGAGGATGGCTCAAAGCCTTGGGATCCTGCACTGCATGGGAGACCCAGAAGAAGGTTTGGGTTTCTGGCTTTGGAACAGTTCAGCTCTGGCCATTGCAGCCACTTGGGGAGTGAACCAGTAGATGGAAAATTTTTTCTCTGTCTCTCCTTTCTGTAAATCTGCCTTTCCAATATAAATAAATAAATCTTTAAAACAATTTACTTATTTAAAAGACAGAGAGGACAGTGCTGTGGCACAGTGAGTTAAGCCACTACCTGCCACACCAGCATCCCATATGGCTGTTCTCCCAATCCAGATCCTTACTAAAGTGCCTGAGAAAGCAGAAGATGGCCCACGTGCCTGGGACTCTGAACACACTTTGGGGACGTGGATGAAGTTCCTAGTTTCATCCTGGCCTGGCCCTAGCTGTTGCAGCCACCAATGGACAACAGCTCTCCTTCCCTCACCTCCAAATTCTGTCTTTCAAAAAAACAAACAAACAAACAAAAGGCGGGGGGCGGCGGGGACAGAGAGAGACAAATCTGTTGATTTACTCCTTAAATCCGCAACCGCAAGGGCTGGGTGAGTCAAAAGCCAAGAGGCTGGAAACTCGATGTGGGTCTCTCACAAGTGACAGGGAGCCAACCACTTTCAGCAACACCTGCTGCCTCCTGGAGCCTCCATTAACAGAAAGCTAGAACTGGGAGTGGAGCTGGGGCAGAACACAGGCACTCCTCCATGTTACACAGGCATTCCCAGCAGTAGTGTAACTGCTATGAACTCCCTCCTGAACTTTTTAACTAAAAAGTTATCTACAAATTTCAGATTTTAAAACAAAGCAAGGCTAATCTTTTAAATCCGTGTTTTCCATAAACTTTTAAAATAATCCCTGTTACCACCTCAAAGATTTCAAATCTCAGAAGACACATGCAGGAAACCTAGGTCCTAAACACTTTTGTTTTGCAAAGATTCCAAAGGGTTAGGGGGTCACTTTCATTCAGGCTGCCTTCAAAGCAGCCAATGACAATCCAAGACAATCCCAGGTATTTCCGTGGAATTATGTCAACCCTGAAGACTGCTATGACTAGGCACAAACTAATCATGGTATTTTAAGACTTCCAAATGGGAAATGATCCAGATTAGTCTACAGGGAGACTCAGCAATGCATCAGATTCGATTTCCAGACTGAAGACTAATCTGGAGACTGAAAATCTTACATGGTACATAAGTTCCTCCTTCCTTTCATGTAGTTATAAATTATCACTCATCCCTGCGCTATCTGCATGATACATCTATTCTCAGACAACAGTATATTCTTTTACCTTTAGCTGCTATTTTCTCCTTTTAAGCAAGCAGCTAAGTCGTCTGTAACCCTCTACCTGGAAGATGCACAGACCTGGGAAGTCCTTACCTAGAAGTCTCATCTTTCTCGTCCAGAAGTCGTTTGAGGATGTCCAGTAAAGAGGCCAGACCCTCAGCACCAAACGTCTGAACCCAACTGTAAGGGACAGCAGATCACACAATATTAAATCAAAATAATAAGCACGTATCAGCCACACAAAGTTTACCCTGCTACCTCTACTCCCAGTCCAGTCTGACTCCTCTGATCTGGGTCTGTCCCCAGTGAACTCCAACACTGGACTCCCATTCCAGTTACCTCCTCCTCCAAATCCCCACCTGACAGGGTTGTTGTTGAGAGAGACGCGAAGGGACTCCAAGCAGCTGAGCAGATGCATATCCCGCAAGCCCGACCTCAGCTCCTGGATGTACATCATAGCCGACCGAGAGCTCTCCTTCTGGCTCATGCCCTAGACCGCAGGCACATGGAAACATGCAGAGATCAGTGAACCATGGACCCTGGGCAAACATTAGTCAGCACCGTATGTGGCAGAACGTATCACACATAATAGTAATGTAACAGGTTCAAGTTTGCCTATCCCATATAAATCCATATGTTTCAGGAAGATTTAACATGGTTAAAAAGGTATGTAAGAATGATAAGTCGAACCAAAGACTGAAAATTAGCAGGCTTACATAATGCAATGAGATCCTGATGAGGGAGGCATAAAATGTTATCTAAAACTGGCAAACAAAACCAGCCCCAAGGGCACAGTCATGTCCACAACTTACGGCCTGGGAGGTGTGGAAGTACTGGGACAACATCTCCCTCTTGATGATAATGTCCTTCTCCCTCAAAGGCTGTTGTTTCTCCTCATTCAAATTCATATCCAGCTAGAAAAGAAAGTATCTTTGAATTCCATGCAAGACTTTGAAAAAGATTTATTTATTTTTATTGGAAAGGCAGATATACAGAGACAAGGAAAGAGAGAAAGATCTTCCATCTGCTGGTTCACTCCCCAAGCGGCTGCAACAGCTGGAGCCAACTGAGAAATTCAGTTACTAGGCTACCGCGCTGGGTCCCCTTAAAAGATTGTGCTGTTCAGTATTTAGTTTCTTTAGTGCAGACCTGAGCACACAAAATCAGTGAATAAATTTTTTTTTGATCAGAGATTTAAGTTATTATAGTTGATGAAAACCCCTTAGGAATGTGGTTAGAATTTTAGTTTAAATCTCTCCATGTCTTTATTTATTTGGAAGGCAGAGAGACAGAAAAATGGAGAAATAACAGACAGATTCCCCACCACCTGTTCACGCCACAGATGTCAACAACAGCTAGGGTTGTATCAAGCCAAAGCTGGCGTAGGACCTGATCCAAGTTTCCCATATAGGTGGCTGGTGCCCAACTATTTAACTTACCACGTGCTGCCTCTCAGGGTATGCATTAGAAGGAAGCCAGAAACAGGAGCAAAGCTGGGCCCCAAACCCAGGCATTCTTACAGCCAGGGCTTACCGGGCCAGAATCAGCAGCAAGGAACTCTACCTAGGTCTCCCACAGCGTGGCAGTTCATCTAAATACTTGGGCCATCTTCTGCAACAGCATTTATAGGTAGCCATCTGAGGAATGAACCAGCAGATGGAAAACAGATCTTTCTCTTTTTTAATTTTATCTTTCAAATAATAAATCTTTTTTAAAAAGAGAAAAGAAAAAGAAAATATGATCAGTATAATGGACCCAATTTGAATTGTAATTTCAACAAACTGGTTTTTTTCTAAAGATCTAACTTAGGAAATATGAATCCTATGATATGTAATGTTATTCAAGAATGAATGTTTTCTAAAAATTAAATTACATTTTCTGATTTCTCTCAAAAACAAACAAACAAAAAATCCAGAAAGTGTGTGGCTCTGTGACACTTGCACACAGGCTAGCATCCCCAGTGAAAGGCTATCACCTACCAGAACTGAGTTGGGACTGGCCTTGCTAAGAAAAATGTCACAAGTCCCTTTTTAGCTTACCACTGTCCCTTCTGTTGCCATGATCTTCTGGTTACCCTACTGACTTAACGTGACCTGTGTGGCCCAAAAGCCATCCAACTGTGTCTTTATAAACTGTACCCTTTCTTTTAAAAAATTTATTCTGCTTGTTTGAAAGGCAGAGTTATAGAAAGAGAAGCACCGAGAGAGATCTTCTATTTGCTGGCTTACTTCACAAACGGCCACAACAGCCAGGATGGAAGCCAAGGTGCCAAAGCTTCTTCCAGGTCTCCCACACAGGTGCAGGGGCTGAAGAACTTGGGTCACCCTCAGCTGTGTTCCACGCACGTTAGTAGGAAACTGGACTGGGATAAGTGGAGCAGCTAGGACTTAATCAGGCACCCATGTGGAATGCCAGTGCTACAGATGGTGGCTTTGTCCACTATACCACAATGCCAGCCCCAGACTATACTCTTTACACTCTTAATACACTTCTACAACTAAAAGGCAGACTAAGGGCTAGGTGTGTGGCACAGCAGCTTGGAAGACCCACATTCCATACTGAGAGGCCTGATACGAACCCTAATCCCCCTTCACTTCTGATCTAGCTTCCCACTTAATGCACACCTGAGGTGCTACAGTCAACAGTAGGTGGATCTGTGCTACGGAAGTGAGTAGCTTGGATGAAGTTCTGGGCTCCTGCCTCCAGCTGGCTCAGCTCAGGCCGTGGAGGCTATCTGAGGGGGAAACCAGCAGGTGGGAGAGCCATCTTTCTGCCTTTCAAATAAAGAAAAATAAATTTAAACCAAGAGACTGAAAAATAATAACAGTAGTACTGACTGACGGATTACTCCGATTAGGCCCTGTGTGAAAGATTTTAAGCCTCTAAGTCAGGCATACCACCAACCTCTACGTGAGTTTGAGTCCATGGAACACACAGATTTTATTTAAAAAAAAAAATTACAGGTATTAAAACTTCCACCATGCATACTTCATGCCCGTTGGCCTCAGACACTATGCTCAGAAGTCTGCCAGGACCACAGCATAACCATTCCCTCTCCAGAGTCACACTACATAGAGGGTTAGGAGCAAGTGTCTTTCCATCCCGGTTCTTCTTTATGCACAGTTCACGCTGAATGCTTCCAACACTTCATCCACCCTGGCTTAGCCCAAAGGCGGCAGTCTACGTGCTACGAACCGAACCACCCACCCTAGGCCTTTGTCGCTAAAGTATTGCTGGGCAGGAGGACATTTAAAAGGCTGCTAGTAATCAGGTATTTCCAAGTTTACTCACAGATGTCAATCTTATAGACTGGTTCATATACACTCAGTCCCTCCAGTAACCAAGAATAATTTTTAAAACTCTACATTCTGGGCTCCTCTCCTTGCATGTGCCAGGATCCCATACGGGTGCCAGTTTGTGCCCCGGCAGCTCCACTTCCCATCCAGCTCCCTTGCTTGTGGCCTGGGAAAGCAGTCGAGGACGTCCAAAGCCTTGGGAACCTGCACCCATGTGGGAGACCTGGAAGAGGCTCCAGGCTCCTGGCATCAGATCAGTTCAGCTCCGGCCATTGTGGCCACTTGGGGAGTGAACCAGCGGATAAAGATCTTTGTCTCTCCTTCTCTCTGTAAATATGCCTTTCCAATAAAAAAATAATCTTTTTAAAAATTTTCACATTAAACTTGGAATTCTCTGTAATAAAGGGTTAGCAAAGAGGGAATGTATATAAAAAAGAGTCCCCTCCAAGCTCATAAGAGCATTTTTAAGAACAAGCAACATTTGGAAGTGGAAAACTTACCAGCATCTGTTCAAAGAGAACTAGAATCTGCTCATCCGACTGATCAGGCAATGGCAGTGCTGTGGGATCATCTCCGTATGGCACGTAAGAATTTCTATGAGCAGAATTGGACTTATCCTTTTCCTTCTTTCTTATGCTAGTAAATCTCTCCAGCTGAGAAAAAGAAAAATGTATTAGTGCTGCATTTTCATTTACACAACAAGCTTTTCAAGCTCTTTCACCCCTCCCACACCCGTGGTTCCTCTGCCTTATGAGCTCAGGCTTCCCCAACATGAAAAGATGCACTTGCCTTCCCCACAGTTAACTTAACAGAGAGAGTCTGCATCCTCACCGACACCCAATGAGAAGCAGCCAGAACCTCTCTCAAAGGAGGGAGCTAAATTCTGATCATCCCCGCCATTCCTCAGCCCTCTCAGCAGCAGAGAACTAAAAACATCTCACGGTCAAAGCTACCTCAGTAAGACTCCCTTTGTTTCCTGCTTTCTACACAAAAAGAAACATGTGCCGGTGCCAGCACAGTGGCCTATCATGCTACTCCTCCATCTGCAGCGTCTGTATCCCAAATGGATGCTAGTCTGAGTCCTGCTCCACTTCTGATCTAGCTCCCTGACAATGGCCTAGGAAACCCATGGAGGATGGCCCAAGTCCTTGAGATTCTGCACCCATGTGGCTCCTGGCCATTGAGGCCATTTGTGGAATGAATCAACAGATGGAAGATCTGTCTGACTCTCCCTCTGTAACTTTTTTAAGAAAAATTAAATAAATAAATAAAAGTAGGGCCTGGAGTGGTAGCCTAGAATCCTTGCCTTGCATGCGCCGGGATCCCATATGGGAACCAGTTCTAATTCTGTTGGCCTTGCTTCCCATCCAGCTTCCCTGCTTGCGGCCTAAGACAGTACAAGACCGCCCAGAGCCTTGAGACCCCGCATCTTCATGGGAGACCCAGAAAAGGCTGCGGGTTCCTGGCTTTGGATCAGATCAGTTCAGTTCCGGCTGCTGCAGCCATTTGGGGAGTGAATCAGCAGACGGAGGATCTTCCTCTATCTTTCCTCCTCTCTGTGGATCTGACTTTCCAATAAAAATAAAACTTAAAATTCTTTAAAAAATTAATACATAAAAGTAAATAAATGTGCCCCAGCCTACAGAGGATCCCTTTCTTCAAGTGATCGGGGATGACACTGTGAGACGACACGTTAAGCCACGTCCTGTGGTGCCACCATACCACAATGGACGCCAGTTCAGGTCCCAGCTGCTCCACTTCTGGGAAAGCAACAGAGGATGGCTCAGGTACTTGGCCCCCTGCATCCACGTGGGAAGCCTGCAAAAAGCTCCTGGCTTCTGGCCCACCCCAGCTATTGCAGCCAACTGCGGAGTGAACCATGAGATTGAAGACCCTGACTCTCCCTCTCCCCCTGCCTCTCCTTCTGTGTAACTCTGCTCTCCAAATAAATAAATGTTAAAAGAAAAATAATAACCACACACAAAGGAGCTGACTAAGATCACGGATTTTAATATCTGTAAGTCAAACAGGTAGTACATACCTTAAAACCAGGAGCCATTCCTCTTTCTTTTGCTTACTTCACAACACCTGTGTTATGCTCTTTGCATAAACACCATGTATTCAGAAATGTGTGCTGTGTCCCTACCAAGCAAAGCTAATGAAGCACTGCCTCAGATCAGATGCTCAGCAAGAGCCACCAAGAAGCTGCAGCTTGCTGGCTCCACCCATCTGAAAAGAAGAGTAGTATCTACAAGCACTGTGAGCTTGCAGTGAGAGCAGCCACTTCCAAACTCCAAGCCATGTAAAGGACATGCCAAACTTTGCAAGCTGAGGAACATGCCAAAGGAATGCATGCAAAGGGCCAAATGCCGAGGCAAGAGATAGGAAAAAGCCTTGGGATTCACTCCAATTAGACCCCATTAACCAACATAGTACAGAACATAAAAAATAAACCAGTTGGGCCCGGCGTGATAGCATAGTGGTTAAAGTCCTTGCCTTGCACGCGCCAGGATCCCATATGGGTGCTGGTCCTAATCCCGGTGGCCCTGCTTCCCATCCAGCTCCCTGCTTGTGGCCTGGGAAAGCAGTCGAGGACGGCCCAAAGCCTTGGGACCCTGCACCCATGTGGGAAATCTGGAAGAAGCTCCTGGCTCCTGGCTTCAGATTGGCTCAGCTCCAGCCATTGCGGCCGCTTGGGGAGTGAATCATCAGACGGAAGATCTTCCTTTCTGTCTCTCCTCCTCTCTGTATATCTGACTTTCCAATAAAAATAATCGTTAAAAATAATAAAAAATAAACTGGTAAATGTTATATAGCATAGGAAATGAGATAAAACATGCACATGCCGAACAAAATGTCCTTACCTCATCTGCCATGAGCCGCTTCAGAGTCTAGGAAACAGGAAAAGGAAGGAAGGAAAGAGAGAGAAGAGGTAAGTGAAATGTCAAACAGCAAAGAGAGGCTGGTGGAAAACGAGGAGAAAACAACCTGAAAGGATCTGATTTCACATACTAAATTTTTACGGAAGTATTCTCGGTCCGGTCTCTCAGGGAAGGGGCTGCTAGGGTTTTGAGGACACTAGGACATGACTCTTAAAAGATAGAGACTTGAAGAGATCCTATATTTGATGGCAGATATGCTCATAAAATGTGCTCAACCTCATGAGTAAAACAGGAAGTGCAAATTGACAGCACAATGAGCCAGCACCTCTCAAGATGGGCAAACACAGGCAGGTCTGTCTAGCAGAAGGGCAGCAGGCACTCTCAGCACAGCCACTCGGGAAGGTGGCAGAGCACGCATGCACACTGCAAGTCAACACACCTGCTGCGATGGGTCTGTCCTGCTGGCACCTGGACACACTTAGCAGGACCCACGTAACCAGAGTGTAACACTAAACTGTATCAACACAACAGTCTAGACAGCTATCAAGACTAGAATGTGGGGACGAGCATTGTGGTGCAGCAGTTTAAGCTTTCAGCTGCAACACTAGCTTCCCATAAGGGCACTGGTTGAGGCCTGGCTGTTCTATTTCTCATCTAGCTCCCACGATGCAGCTGGCAAAGCACTGGAGAGTGGCCCATGTGCTTGTGTCCCCGCCGTCCACAGGGAACACACATGTGGAGTTCCTGGCTACTTGCTTGGGTCTGGCCTGCCTGGCCCAGTCCAGTCCAACCTACTCCAACTCTAGCTACTGCAGCCAATTAAGGAACGGATCAGTGGAAGATCTTTTTCTCTGCATCTGTCTCTCCCCACCTCTCTCTGTAACTCAGGCCTTTCAAATTTTTTATATCACCAATAAAGGTGATATAAAGGGATAAACTGGTATTACTTTAAAAAAAAAAAAAAGGAATGTGACTGGAGACGAAACAAAGAAGCTTCTAGGATGTTTAATGGATGGTGATGACATGAAGCTTCGGTTATAAATCATTCTGTATGTTCCATGTTCTCCTCTCTACACATGTTCTATTTCAAAGTAAAAAACATCTACAGGTCTGGGTCTGGCATGGTAGCCTAGTAGCTAGAATCCTCCCCCTGCAGCCACTGGGATCCCACATGAGCGCTGGTTTGTGTCCTGACTGCTCCACTTCCCATCCAGCTCCTTGTTTGTCGTCTGGGAAAGCAGTAGAGGATGGTCCAAGCCTTGGGACCCTGCATCCGCGCAGGAGACCTGGAAGAGGATCCTGGCTCCTAGATTCGGATCAGATCGGCTTAGCTCTGGCTGTTGCAGCCATTTGAGGAGTGAATCAACAGAGAGAAGATCTTTCTCTCCTCCTCCTCTAGAAGTCTGTCTTTCCAACAAAAATAAATAAAATCTTAAACAAAAAAAAAAAACCTACAAGTCTAAAACAGTACAAATTTTTCTTTGTCCTAATTAATTTTAAACCTTATCTCTTTCATGTATATGTTTGGAACAATTCGATCAATGCTTCTTGATTAATCTTCCCCCAACTAATTAAAAAGTGGTTCCATTCCTGCTGAAAAATTATTTTTCTAATTTTTACAGATAGGAGAAATCTGCATCGCTACGCTCACGTCCTCCACACCATACACAGGGACACGCAGCACACACGGTGGGCGAACCATGAACGTTGCCTCCCTTCTGCAAAGGAGGTCCCGCTCCTCCTGGCTGAGTGCTGACCACTGCCCTGATGCCCAGCCCTGCTCAGCATTCAGGAACTCGCAGTTCTTCTGTGTGTGCTGCTTCCTGGGCGCCAAGGCAGAGACGTATCACTCAAGGAGATGAATGTGACAGTTCCTTTCTTGTCACCACCCTAAGTCCCTTGGAAAACAAGTAGGACACAAAAGGGATGAGGATACACAGTTTGTTGCCATATGTAGGATTGAACTTATTTTTTCCTAGAGGATTGCTTTCAAAACCTTGTCCCTTAAACTCAAAACGATCCCACAGAAGCAAACTACAACCAAACAATGACAGTATTATAAGGTGATTAACCTACCTGTCTGTATACATAGCAGGATCTCTACATAATCACATAAATTACAGGTAACACACCCTAGGTTTAAAGCATCAGTGCATTTGAACTAGTCACAGCTACAGCTAAAGTTACGGGAATCCAGCTATTCCTGGTTTCTGCCTATGTATCTCTCTCCCACCCATCCAAGTAACTTCATATCACCACAGTCTGATTTGATTTTTCACAATAACCTCCTGATTTCCCTGCCTTTGGTGCTGCTCATTTCAAATTACACAGATTTTCCATACTATATCCAAGAATAAACTTTCTTTTTTAAAAAAGATTTATTTTTATTACAAAGTCAGGTATATAGAAAGAGGAGAGAGAGAGAGGAAGATCTTCCATCTGATGATTCACTCCCCAAGTGACCGGAACGGCCGGTGCTGTGCTGATCTGAAGTCAGAAGCCAGGAGCCAGGAGCTTCTTCCAGGTCTCCCACGTGGATGCAGGGTCCCAAGGCTTTGGGCCATCCTCGACTGCTTTCCCAGGTCACAAGCAGGGAGCTGGATGGGAAGTGGAGTTGCTGGGATCAAAACAGGCACCCATATGGGATCCCGGCGCATTCAAGGCAAGGATTTTAACCACTAGGCCACACCACTGGGCCCAAGAATAAGCTTGCTAAAAAGCCAAGCAGTCCATGTTATCTCCCCCCACTTAAAATTGGTCAATAGAGGCAGGTGCCGTGACATGCGTACCAAGCCTCCACCTGCAGTGCCAGCATCCCATAGGGGTGCCCGTTGTCCAGATGGCTCCACTTCTAGTCCAGTTCTCACCTAATAGCCTGAGAAAGCAACAGAGCAGGGCCCAACTGCTTGGACTGCTGCACCTACAATGGGAAACCCAAAGAAACTCCTGGACTCAGACCAGCCCAGCTTCAGCCATTGCCATGATTTGGAGAGTGAAATAGTGGATGGAAGTTCTGTCTCTCCTCTAACTCTGCCTTTCATAAAAATAACTTTTAAAAACAAGAAACATCAATAGCTCCCTACTGCTCTTCACTTAAATCTAAGTCTGGTATACAAATTCCTGTGGGCTTTATTTCCTACACTCGCGCACCTTTTCCACAAACGCTCCACTTCAGGTCCACGGAGAAGCGGCTGCAGATCCGTAAACTGATCATCTAACTGCCCTGTCCCTCCCGCAGCCTGGACTGCGCACTCAAGGCTAACTCTAACAGGCCCCGCAAGCAGTGCCTCTCCAGCTCGCAAAGGAGCCTCTTTCTCTGTTTCCACAGTAACAGGCACTCGGCCGTCTCACAGCACTGATGGAGGATTACTATTGTTCTGATTTCGGCCTCCTCGAGCCCTTCCAGACTACGTTCCTTAAGAGCAGAACCTGGGACTTTGTTATAATCTCTTCATAAACAAACACCACAATCTGGGGCTGCTTCCCCGCATGCCAGTCCCTGGAGAAGCCCTGAGTCTATTCCATCTCTCTCCACTGTGTCAGTGAAGAAACCAAACACCCAGACAGGTGGGGAAGTCACTGACGTCACAGGATCAGGGACTGTGCTGGAGGGCAAAACTCAGGGATACAGATCAGAGTCTCAAAATGTTTGCAATTACTCCGATTCTGCCTTGTTCCTACTTAACTCTTGATTTGAGACAGAAAAACAACCACATCTTTCCATAAGTAGGAAAGCATTCATTTTTCTGTGCTTTTGGGAGACAACATCAGAAGGATATTTGATCCTTCAAAGTAATTATCCACGGGTGGGCAGGTGCCTGCTGGGTAAAATACTGTTAGGATGCCCACGTCTCACTGGACCACTCGGGTTGGAGGTCTAGCTCCGGCCCCTGACTCCAGTTTCCTACTAACATGAATCCAGGGAGGCAGCAGTGACTCAAATAACCAGGCTCCTGCCACCCATGTAGGAGACTAGGATTGAGTTTCCAGCTCCAAGATTCTGACCTGGGCCTCGTGGGCATTTGGGAAGTAAACCAGTGGATAGGAATTATGTCTCTCACTCTCACTGTTTCTCTGCCTTTCAAACAAGTAAATAGCTTTTTAATAATTATCCATTATTTTAGTGCTCAATTTAATTAGGTGAGCCAGGCAGGATAAAAGCTGCACTTCTTCAGCATCCCAACAGAGGGCAGCAACAACCAGCAAAATGAATCAGTGCAGGTAAAATTCTGCTTCAGAGCCCAGGAGAGCCCCAAGAAGCAAGCTTGATGACTGAAATGAAACCTATTGCTGTAACATATTGAGGGATTACTGCTTACTGCTTTAGTATTACATATGTTTTTCTTATGGAAAAACAGCTTTGATCAGTTTTTTAAAAATTATATCATATCTCATAAATTATGAGAAGTAAAAAAAAAAAAACCTAAAAATAGGTACAAGAAGACATCTACTGGAACAGTATGTCTTATGCCTCAAACATACAGATTATTTTAAACAAAGTCTTTAATCATCCTCCCTACTTCTAAATGCTTCATTCTCACCATTCTCTTTGCCTTCAAACCAAACCCTTACTTTACTAGCTGGGCTGTGAAAACATTTCATTTTTTATCCTTACTACTGTGTCCCCTACTAAACCCTTATAGAAGGAAGTATAAAAAAATGAAATATTTAAAACATCAGATCCTGGCTCACAGATAACGAATAACAGGAACTTCCAGACAGAAGACAGCAGATCTAACTGAAGGTTTTTATTTTCTACTTAAACTGCTGCTGGGTAAATACCTGCTCGCTCTCTGGCAGGAGACTGGAAGGCTATTCTCACAAAATGGAAGAACAGAGGGTTTCCAGACGGAGAGCCGCCAGGCACTGCTGTGAGCAGGGTCCTATTCCAACAAGAGGAGGGAGTAACCTACACACACTGTATTCTGAGACATTCCACACCACCCTCCGGCCCCCCACCTGGCCTGGCCTTTCCCCTTGAGTCTCCTCTGGAGAATCAAAAATTCCCT